TTTGGTATGAAAAAGCAGCCAAATGTGAAAATATAATTGCAAAATACTTTCTTGCAGAATGTTATCGAAGTTAAGAAGAATAAGAATAAAGCATTTGAGTGTTATAAAAATTCGGCCAAAAATAAAATTGTAGATGCATAATTTAAGCTTGGTAATTGTTTTTATTATAGAATTAGAACTAATATAAATAAAGAACAAGTATATCTCTGATATACAAAAGCGAGATATTGCTGCGAAATATTTCTTAAAAAGAATTATGATAAAGATATGTTGGAGGATAATAAAAGAGTTATTAGTTTCAAAGGATTAGGCTTGTATTATATTGGGAAATTCCTAATAAATGCAAGTTACGTAAAGGCTTTTTATTACTTTCAAAAAGTAGCAGAAAATGGACATAAAGTTGCACAGCACAATTTGGGTCTATATTATAGAGATGGTAAAGGAGTAAAAAAAAATGAAAAATTGGCTTTTGAATTATTTAATAAATCAGCCAAGCAAGGTTATATGGATGGGAAATTTCGACTTGGATACTGTTATGATAAAGGAATTGGAACAGATATTAACAAGACAAAAGCTATTGATTTATATACAATTGTTGCTGAAGAGAGGAATGCTATGGCTCAAAATAATCTCGCGATTTTATATGAAAACGGCGAAGGGGTAGAGAGAAATATAAGGACGGCATTTCACTGGTATGAAAGAGCAGCAGAAAATGAAAACAAAAGAGCTCAAAATAATCTTGCCTATTTATATGAAAAAGGTATAGGTACGGAAAAGAATTTAGAGAGGCCATTTATTTGTATAAGAAAGCCGCAGAAAATGGAATAATTGAAGCACAATATTATCTTGGCCAATATTATAAAGCAAATAATGATTTTAAAAAAGCTATTTATTGGTATAATCAAGCAGCACGGAATGGATATAGTGAAGCTCAAAATAATTTAGGGATCTCGTATGAAAAAAGGGAAGGAATAGAAGAGAATTTAGAAATGGCTATTTACTGGTATACCGTAGCAGCAGAAAATGAAAATGAAATTGCACAAACCAATCTTGGAATTTTATACGAAAGGGGTGAAGGTGTAGAAAAGAACTTAAAAGAAGCTGTATATTGGTATAATAAAGCAGCAGAAAATGGATGTATTGAAGTTCAAATTAACCTTGGTAATTTATATGAAAAGGGTGAAGGTGTAGAAAAGAACTTAGAAGAAGCTATATATTGGTATAATAAAGCTGCAGAAAATGAGTTGTAGTCGACTTCCTAAATTGGGAATTATTATTGGAGGTATTTAATGAAAGTAACAAAGTCACGTGTGAAAAAGTTTCGGTTTCAGATAAATTAAATTTAACGAATTATTTAATTATGATGTCAAATAGAAATCCTATATTGTAATATGGGATGACTGACGCGTATTGACATTTGCTTATTTTATTAAATTCTCACAGTTTGACTCATTCTAGAATTTTTTTTAAACCTGAAGACAAAGGATAACAAACCATACGTCACTCATACATCTTACTGCGGAAATTTGAGTATAAAAATATCCAACTGAAACACTTGACTTTACTTCCTTTTCGCGTTAATTTTCCTCAAAAAAAATCTTTTTTATTAAACAAAATTTGTATTAAACCTTCAAAAAAAATTAAGAAAAGAAAATGGCCAGCACTAGTAGTAAAGGTATGGGAAAAAACATATCAACTGTTGTAGACGGTGGTGGAAAAGGCTTGGGCAAGAATGCACCGGCCGCAAAGAAAGTCTCTAGATCTTCAAAAGTATTTTTATTTTATTTTATTACCTTCTTTTTTTTTATTTATTTCGACATTTATTAAGATTTCGATTCTTTGTTTGGAATGCAATACGCCTTTTTAGGCTGGTCTCCAATTTCCAGTTGGACGTATTCATCGTCATCTTCGAAAAGGAAATTACGTGCATCGCATCGGTTCTGGAGCACCTGTTTATCTTGCCGCAGTTCTTGAATATTTGTCAGCGGAAATACTTGAACTTGCTGGTAATGCCGCACGAGATAACAAGAAATCAAGGATTATTCCTCGACACCTTCAATTAGCTATACGTAACGATGAAGAATTGAACAAATTACTTGGACACGTTACTATTGCTCAAGGCGGTGTCTTGCCTAACATTCATCAAAACTTATTGCCAAAGAGATCCAAGAAAGGTAACTTATAAAATCTTTTCTTTTTTTTTTTTAAAAAAAAAATTTTTGATGAGATGAATTTATGAATTTGAATCATGATGATAGCTGAAAAAAATGCTCAAGCCCCACAACCAGAAGGTGATGACGAAGAAGAAGCATAATGAATTATCCCCCTTTTACTTGGATCATGTTAACGGTTTCGAAATCTCATACAACTTTCTTTGCATTTCTTAAAATACCATGATAAGACACCATTCTTCTTTGTAATAGCTGTAGAAACATTCGCATAGCATCTTAGTACAATGTAGAAAGGACAAAATAATAGCACAGAAATTATTTTTTTTTTTAAATTAGTTAAAGAGAAAACGTACATGTTCATATAAAAATTGAACTTGCTAAATTCACTAGAGAAAATATATTTAATAAAAATTGCAATAATAGTTAACCTCGATATCTCGTTCTGTTTTTTTTTAATGACGTAATGTCGGCGGAAAGTTGAGATTCTTTGTTTTTAGAATTTTTCGTTGATAATTTGTGTAAGAATCGGACATTGAGACTGATAAGCCATAAATGGCAACGTAGCTATGTTTGATATATATGAATATAAGAAGTTCTAGAGGATGAATGTGGGAAAAGCAGTTCTTTATCGACGTAACGGCATTGGTTCGAGAAGACACGTTTAAGCCAAGGTTTCATCCTACTTGTGAAAGGGATATGAAGTCGTAATGCATCAATAAAAGTGAAACAATGAATAACCGAATTTAAGTTTTTTGGATTTGACAATCTAGTATTTAACGTTTGCAGAAAATTCACGGGATAAATTTGCAAGTTCAACATGAACGTAACATTTTAGAGATTTTCCGCAATTAAGAAAAAATTTTTTATTTATAATAAACAAATGTCCTAATTTCAGCTCTACTGGCGAGCGTTAAATACCTTCTTTTTTTGAATTTGAAAGTTTACACCTTATAAGTTCGTTAATGTGACTTTAATTAATACTATAAGAACTCGTGTGAGAAACAAGTCATATTGAACTAAAATACAAGAAAAAGGGTATTTAAATATCGCCACTAGAGCTAAAATTAGCGGGTGAATAGTAAAAGGACGCTAAATTATTCACCTATCTAAAAATCAAAATCACATGGGGGGATAAAAGGTTCTATATTACGAAAGGAAGATTAAAAAATATATATACCAGCTGCACGCATGGTATTGGTACAGGTTGTAGAGCGGTGACCAACCAATTTTCTAATAAAAATTATTCTAGAAAGATTGTACTAAACCACGGATTAATTATCCGTGGTTGAAAATTTTTGTGATAATCTACAAAAGAAAATTGAACGATGGTAACAATTTTCTTGTAAATAATCAAGGTATTGGTACAGGACTTTAAATATATATAATTTAAAAGTATATTGATATTTGATAAAGCAAGTGCATTATTTCCTTGAGAAAATAATTCAACTTGACAGTAGGATGTTGTTTTTACAACTGCAATTACAATATCGTTATAAGAATTATATAAAGAATTGAGAAATTTCGACATTTTAATATGTGACGGCGAGAGGAAGATTCCTCATTTTTCGAGAAATAAAAATGTTTGTTATTTTTTATTTAAGAAATTCAAAAGAGCTTATTTTCGTTATTTATTTATTTAAAAACAATTGGTTCAAATAATTGTAGGAATAATATTTTTTTATTTATTTTATTTATTTTTTTTTTTAAAAAAAAATTTGAATCTTTTGCATCAAAAAATGCCCGCTTAAATAAACTTTCAACATATCGATCGTGCTAATCTAAAAAAAAAAATCATCTTTGAAGTCTTGACTAATGAGTAATTGATGAAAGAAAATGGGGGAATCTTCTCTTACTAACCTATAAAAAAAAAAAATTATTTCCTTTTGAGACGACGACGTTGAAAAAATTTTTCTAAATTTAACTTTCCTGTTTTAATTCTTGTTTTTTTTTCTCGTTTTTGGGTAGATCAAATTAGAAATTTTTAATTTGTAACTGTAATCTGCAAGACAATATTAATTGAGGAAAACTTTGAAAGGTAAATGAAACGGAAAGAGTGAGTGAGCAAATTTTCCCACAACGCCTCATGCGTATTGATTATCACCTCGCAGCTTTTGAAAGGCAGCTTTTTTTTTGAAAGGAATGTATACTGAATTGTTTGTTTAGTTATGTAAGAGAAGTTTTTTTTTGAAAAGATCAAAGCTATCTTCAAAAAAAAAACACCTCCCGATAATCAAAAGAAACTGAAATATGGAACATTCGATCCATTGTAATATTTTTTATGCATCCTGGTGCAGAAGATGCTGGTACCTTACGGATTCTAAAGAATAAAATAAATCGAAGATTATGTAAGTACTTTGTTTATGGACCAAAAAAGACATTAATAATAAAAATGAACTTAACGGCAATTCGATAATGAAATGTAATTGTCTTTTCCTTCGCCTCCTTTCTATTCTTGCCATTCAATCTAATACTCCTTAAATGACTTTACCAAATAAATAATGTTGTCAATTATTCACAAACCCCATGAATTCACATTAATTCATCACAAAAATTTCGTAATTTTCATCCTCTCCTAAATTATCTTCCTTACTTATCCTAACGTTAAGAATCGATAACTTTTGAAATTTTATTAAAATCTTCAAATTCTAAAAAACCGTAATTATTTAGAATTGATTACGGCCCGATTTATTACCGTTTCTTTATATTCCCCAATAAAGCCTGCGTTACACGCATTGATGCAGGGTTTATAAGAAAACCGTATTTTCACGTGCAATAAATTTAGATCAAAAGATAATCAATAATATCAACTGAAAGTTATCTTTACTTATTTAGACAAAATATATTTTCAAAATAGTCTTCAATTACGGACAAAGAATTCTTTCATGGGCTGTGGTGTTAGATTACAGTCTGAATCAAGTAATAAAAAAAAAAATGATTTCACTTTCAATATATTATATTCACCTGTTAAATATTAAACTCGTTAATGGACGATGAATGCCCTTAATTGGAAATTGGTGACGGTTTAAGAGAATTAAAGAAGTCACTAAAGATTTCCCACCTCACGTAGGTCCTTCGACGTATACTTTTTTCCCTTTTATGAAATCAATTCTTTACTGACTATTTATATTTAAATGTAGGTAAATTTTTCCATTACGAATCATCATTGATTCATAATTCAATGGCGTTGTTAGCAAATCAATTCTTTTCTTATCTTTGGATAATGGTCCCTAATTATGTTAAATAATTCGATAGACACCTTAAGAGGCCTTAGTTGTATACGAAGTGTATCTTTATATTGATTATCTTCCTGATGATGGTGAAGTTTGGCAATTTGATGGACTATATCCGTGCCCTGTTAGTATTGACAGGTTGGCATTGAAATATTTTTATCAAGTGGATATTTTTCTTAATTTTTTTTTATTTGATAATAACCGTGCTGTTCCTTTTTTCTTTATTCAGGAAAATATTCCGACAACTAGAAATGGTATGATGCGGCGTGTGAAGCATTTACACAGGGGTATTTATCAATCTATCATGACTGTATAACGATTAAAATTGACTTTGATTAATAATTAAATTTTATTTAATATATAGGTTTTATACAGAACAAATCAATTTTGTTCTATTGGAAATAACTAAAGATCAACAGATATGAAGAAAAATGGGACTAAAGGAGTGCATATATTCAAAAAAAAAAAAATGGTTGAAGCTCGTATTAGATGAGTGAAATTGCAAGTGGAGAGTTGCTCTTTTGATGAATCAGTAGTATGTAATAAATACTTAAATTAGATGATTATATATACGCCGGCTATTTTTTTATCTATTCTTAGTTACAGGTTTAACTGATGATGAAGAAATCAAAGTTGTTACAAAAGATGTTAATAAGCTTAAAATTACGAATAAACTGATTCGTGTTTACAAAAAAAAATTATCGAACGTGAAAATAAATTGAAGCAGGTGAATCATAAATTCAAAATTTTCATTCAATGAAGTTGAACTAAAATTTATGATATCGAAATTTTTTTTTTTTGCTTTTTTCAGATTGAAAAGAAGTTGCAAACATTTGATTACGGACTATACATTCGAGAATATATTCCTATTTTACATGAATGTGGTAATTTAAAAGATTTGTTAAAGAATGCTGAGGATGAGGATTATGATATAGTTTTTTAAAATTGTAATAATATATATGTACTAGTGTGAATTGTGTTTACATCGTGAATTTAAAATCTAACTAATATTTTTAAAAGGCCATTTTTATTTATACAAATATAGTATGATTTAAGAATTTTTAACAAATAAAATAATCAAAATAAAAAATATTAGGTTTTTAAAATAAATATATTTAAAAGTAATTATTAAAATTTAAATAAAAAATTAAAAAATATTATATATATATCTTTATATAAATTATCAACATATTTTTTTTGATTTTTAAATATAAATATATATATATTTTTTTTTTACTAAATATTAATAATACTTAATATCTAAATATTTATACATTTTAAAATAAATAAAATAAATAATAAATTTATCTAAAAATTTAAAAAAAAATATTAATTTGTTAATAAATATAATATATTAAATATAATAATATATTATTATATAAAAAATATATAGTTTAATTTATATTTTTAACTTTATTAATATTAATTATTTTATATTTATTTAATAATTAAATCATTTTATTACTAATAAATCTTAATAAATTATGAAAATTAATAAAAAAAGTTTTTTATATAATAAATTTTATATAATAATATTATAATAAATGTAATTTCTATAATATAATAAATTTTTTTTATAATTATAAAATTTCAATTTATAAGTAACTTTAGATAATATAATATTATATTTAGATATAAAAATTTGATTTTTATTAAAAAAATTATAATAAATAGTAAGTAATAATATTAATATTTTTTTAATATATTATTAGTAGAGTAATTGACTAATAAAAATAAAATTACATAAATTATATAATAAAATGATTTTTTAATATAAAATTCTGAAATAATATAAAAACTAAAATATAGATAATTTATAAAATTTAGATGATCTCTTAAATACTATAAATAAGTCTAATTCTAAAAATTTAATAAAATTTAAAAATATTTAATATAATACTTATTTTTAATAT